ACTACATTCATCACAACATTTTAGCATGTATTGTATAACCTTTTTTTTACCACATTCTTCACCAGTAGGCATATTTTCTAAGTACCTGCTTTAACATTATAAAAAAAAATTTTATTGGCTCATGTTCAAATTTAAAGAGTAATTTGACTTTCTTCCTAAAATGACAGTTAAAGAGGAAAAAGTATTCAATATTTAATGCTTTAGAATATTCTGTTATGGCAGCATTTGGCCGACTAAGCTTCAGAGAATGATTAGAGCAGGGGCGAATTTGGGAGGGGGCGGGGTGGCCCGGCCCTCTCCCTCCCCCCTTTTTTGGAAAGTTTAAAAAAAAAGAAAGAAAAATTGGATCGCCCAAAATGCCTTAAGAGGTTATCAGGGCTCCCGAGACTTACAAAAAAATCAAGAAGACCTTGTGCACTCCCGCAAGCAAGGAAGAATCTCCCGAAAATAACTGATATCCTGCAAATTCATGATATTTGTATATTTTAAATATTTTATTGTCAATTGTCTCATGGAAGTCAATTTCGATGGGTATCACTATACTGGAGTATAAAAATTAGATATGTTAACAAAAGTTTAGGTACTGAAGATCAGTTTAGCATTCAAAGACTTCAAATAAAAACAAAATTCTGTTTTTGGCCAGTTACCATCGGCACAAAAATGGAAATTTCATAGAAAAAAGAAGTTTTCTTTATTTTTAGTACACCCGCCTCTGCCTTAAAATCTTCAAAAATATGATATGTATATTTCTTCTTAATTATATAAATTGAAAGCATTTAACCATCATACTACACTGTTTACATTCACTATAAAATTGTTAAATATAAAATATAACAAAATATAATTTAAAAATTTTTTTTCTGCCCTCCTCTGATGAATTTTAATAATTTTTATTAAGTTCGCGAAACAATTTTTAAAACAAATCTCACCTTACCTGCTACCATAATCAGGAATATTACTATACTGGTACATGCGGTGAGCAATGTTTTTTTTCTAGCACTTTTAATGCCAAAACTGGGTTAGTGGATTACTGTAGTTTGATTTCTGACTAAAGCTACTGTATTAAAATTCTTTTATTTCAATACTTTAACTGGCAGTTATAACTAATTATGAGAAGTTTACAGTAAGTTTTAAATTCACATAAAGACTAAAGACAAATCATGATTGAGTATTCTTGTTTATTTCAGGAATGAATGAATGAAAAAGACTGAAGCACTATAGCTGTACAAATGACAATGAACATGGAAACAAGTAAAAGTAATAAACTAAAAAGACATTTCAATATTCTGTCATCCTCCTTTTAGAATCAAGATATTCTACAATACTTTTTCTTGTTTCCAGAAGTTGTAATATTAATAATAATTATTTTATTTTTATTTACTTTATAGAAGCAACCTTTGCAGATTTTAAGTTGTTTGTGTCAAATTGGTACGATGAACACATACCCATCAATATGCTGAAAGTATTATTCAAGGACCATGTAGAAAATACTTTTGCATTACATATTTCTTCTAAGACAATAACCTTAATGAATATGCTGATAACATCTGGAAGTTTGAGTCCAACAGACCTCACTCTCCTCTATGATACTATTAAGGCAACAAAGCAATTTGGTCTGGAACAAGAAATTCAAAATGAAATGCCATCATTCCAAATTGCCAAAAACATCAGGAATAATGTAATTACAAAATTCACAGTACATCGGCAAAGACTTGTAAAGCTGGGAATGGCGCTCACTCCAAGTGATGTACAAAAGATCAGTGATATGTATGAGGTGAAACATACAGATAGCTGGAGTTTGATCATGGATCTAGAACATAAAATGTTCATTTGTGAAGATAACATGGATGCATTAATTGAAAAGTTGAAGAAACACAAACTCCACCAAGCTGTGAAAGCTGTAACAGAAGGTATTTCTTTTCTTTTATATTAATTGAATAAATGTTGATTCAATGCTTGTAACTGAAAAAACTTTGTTCACTAAAGCATTTCATTTCATTTATTTCATCAAAAAAACATTAAAAATTGACACAAGAAAACAGAGAGCACAGGGAACAACACTCAGTTGGCTGGACAGGATTGCCAATAAGTGAACTAAATCACTGTCTAGTGGTTCTCCAATGCCAATGAGAACAAAAATTATTTAAAAATTAAATTAGCATAAAATATTCAATTAAAATAGGCTAATCAATAAAACTTAAATTAAAAAATATATATGTCAAGAATCATCAGTGAAATCGGTCAAAATACAGTAAAATTTGAAAAAGAAGAATTGCAGCAAAAAAAAACTAATGTTAAAAAGTTTAATTTACAAGGGTAAAATTTGAGACGAAAAATTGAAAAAGAATTATTGCTTAGCATAAAATAGTTTTCAAATTCTGATAAAAGATTGGAGTACAATGAAACACACGATAAAATCTGAACAAGAATTTCAGATTGAGATGTTCATCACATGTAAATTTATCCTTTTCATGTGCGAGATTTTAATAGTAGATAAAGGTAAAGGTGGGAGACTTAAACCCATAGGCGTAGATCCCGGGGGATGGGGGGATATATCCCCCCAATATTTGACAAGGGGAGGATGGTCCATTGTATCATCCCCCCCAATATTTTGACTATGTATGGGATAAAATGGGGCTTTACACACTTCAAAAGACTGTCACAGAAATAATTTGCACTGTCTTATTCGCTTACAAAGATGAAAATTAGCATAATGTTAATATAATGTTGATACCAAATTATTTTATCTGGTACCAATCTAAGCCCTTCTTTCCTTAGATGTTAGATGTGCTTGCAAAGAGAGCCACATTTCACACTAACGGGTGTGTACGACATCAGTAATGTTATGTCAATTCCATGGTTTTATTTATTACATATTCTTTATATATATTTATAACATATTCTTTCACCATCAATACATTGAGGCCCTTCTTTTAGGTTAAAACGATCGATCTTGAATTTGTCTTTCTTGAGTTTGGGACTATTATGTGTTTAAATAACTTAAAAGGATAAACCTAAAAAAGCCCTAAAAAATGCGCCCGAGGTGCGCTAAACATTTTTGTGTTTTTAATTCTAATTTCGTCGGAATTGATGAAAACTCCCTAAAATGTGCAATTTATAGAGGAAATTGGCCTACCGTACAAGAAATGCGCGCAAAGAATTTGAGAATTTTAGGCACTTTTAGAGGATGCATTTGTCAAGGGGTGTAAAGATTTGTCAAAGATGGATATTTTCCCCTTGTCCCCCGGTGTTTTTAATTCTAATTTCGTTGAAATTGATCAAAACTCCCTAAAATGTGCAATTTTTAGAGGAAATTGGCCCATATCAACAAGAAGTGCGCGCGAAACGCGCAAAATTTGAGGTTTTTAGGCATTTTCAGGGGATGAAAAGGGCATTTGTAAATGGGTGGGGAAGATTTTTCAAAGATAGATATTTTCCCCTTGTCCCCCAGTGGTTACGCCATCGGGCAGCATAGATCAAAGGAGTTAGACAGTTTTTGAAGTGGAGAAGGGGTTGCAGGGTGTTGTGAGTCTGGTCATTATGATATCTTCCTTTTTATTCTTGTTTTTATTTTTCTCTTTTCTTTTTCTTTCCTTTTCTTTTCATCTTCTTTCTCTTTCCCTCCCCTCTTTCTTTTCTCTTATTACCCAACCTGGTACGACGGCTTGGTCAGCCCGGTAAAAACCGTCAGGGGAGGGGCAGTTTTCCCCCTGGGGTAAATTTAAGAAAAGATTTTAACTTTCCACAAGACGATCCGTTGTTGAGAAACATTGGCGTTTTTCACTTTTATAGATCTGGTCCCAAATTTGAATATATGCCATTCAATTTTAATTGTTTTGATCAGCCTGCGCTTGCATGTGGCTAGAGACAACTACACATAGATAATATATCTGTAATATGAGGGGTATATACCCACTCATATAGACGCAGGGTGACCTCGAAAATCACAAAAAATTTGCATCGTTAAACAAAGCGGCTACTTTGAGTGCAGATAACTTCAAAAGGGAAGGGATAACTGTTAATCCAAGGCCATATTTGCAAAATATGGCGAAAAATAAGTTAGAATACCAAGTTTGACCCTGATAGTTTTAATTATCAATCTCGAGTTATAAGCTTCCAAATTTGAAGTAAATTGCGTTTGCACATCTTGAAGAACCACGCCCCATATTTTTGAGGAGTTCAATATCTCGAAAACTACATATCCTATGAGGCTAATTTTTTTTTGTTGGTTTAGCATACAGTGGATCATTTTTATGGATTTTCATCACAATCTTAGACGGTCATATAGGAAAACCTTTAAATCTGGTTGATTTGACATGGAATGACCCTACAATAGGTCAAAGGTCAGAATGTATCGTTTCCAGTCACTATTTGAACATTTTTTTCATTAGGACAAATATAAACATGAATCTCCTGAACAATTTGCAATCAATTGTGAGTTTCTATGACCAGTAGTTACTGAGATATGACATTACAAGGTCAAAGGTCAAACTTTCAAAAACCACATTTTCCGCTATTTTTTGATAAAAAGTTGTATTACAACAAATAGGAACATGCATATTGTGAACAATTTGAGACCAAAATCAAGTCTCTCTGACCAGTGGTTATCGAGATACAAGCATTCAAATCAACAGGCGGCCATTTTGAAAAACGCCCCCAAACGGGACTTTTCCCCAATATCTGGGAGGTATATAGGAGCTATATTTTATCTAAATTGGTCCATCTTGCCAAATCCATCGAGAAAAAAGGTATCCTAAAATTAGTCACGGATCTCATGAAAATGACTCTACTAGATATGATATGATACAGTTGATGTCAGAGACACAATATGCTGTTATGTATCAACAAAGCCCTTTTGGATCAGAGTGCTAGATCGCGGTCCATGCGGTTCGGGTGCCCTAGGGGTTGACAGCCCTGTGGACCACCATACCAGGGCGCATAGGTGTTACGCCACACTGCATGGTCACATCATTCCGCAATGGCTAAAATGAACCATAGCATTGGGTTAACCCCCTATTTTCTGAAAGATACTATGGGTTTAAAGTGCACACAAGCCAGATGTGTACACTGGACCTCCATTTTGAGTCATCCAAAAAGACTCTAACCAGTGCCAATTTTAAGGCTGTAGTTTGTACCGCCGTCTGCATGACTGCTCAGCTACTTGACTTGATATTTACTTTCTAGTATCAGGCTGTTAGTGTCAAAGAACTCGAAATAATTGTGAAAACTGCAAAGTTTATGATACCGACCATATATTTATCGCAAACCCTGATGACATTCTAGGAATAGTCACAAATCACTTCAGATCAAAATTTCACAAAGAGAACGCAAAAAACATTGAACCATTTATAGGAGAACCTCGCCCACTCACAAACGAAATCCAACTATTGGAAGTTGAGAATATTTTGAAAAAATTAAAAAACAATAGAGCACCAGTCAATCACTTAACTATCTCTACATTATCAAAGCTCTTGCAAAAGGTAAGTCCTACTGGAAAGATCTCATCCGAAACCTTACTAAAGCAGCCCGCCCGGGCAGAGAAGTCAGAAGACTACTCAGTGTAGAGGTTTAAAGTCAGTAAAGTCAAGTCAGTAATCAAACACAATAATCATATAAAATATCATGTATGGCTGTTCCGTGTCAAAACATCTCAAAGTGCTTTACTGTCAGTAAAAAATATGCAACCAATTTATGAGTCAAATTATTTATTATGGTAAATAATAAATAGATATTTAGTGTACCAGATCAATTGTTGAATTAAATTCCAAAGCCATCATCAAACCTAGGACAAGCAAGTGGTAAGATAATGTTGACATTGGTGTCTTATGATATTATGATGTTATTTGTTAATGTTAGTGCGTTCTATATAATAACTCTACTACTACTACTACTACTACTACTACTACTACTACTACTACAGCTACTGCTACTACTACTACTACTACTACTTCTACTACTGCTACCACCACTACTGCTGCTATTGTTCATGGTTAACACTGTAGGTATAGGGTGTGAATTTCCTTTAAATTCATAATATTTTGTACAGATATATAAAGTGTTCTTTTATTTATAGTGAAACAATAATTTTTAAGAAACCCTCAATTATCTCCCTCTTGATAGCTTGTAGAATGCTGCTTTTGTGTAATTTTTCCTTCCTGTTTGCAAGAATAGAATATTTAATATTAAAACATTTTTGTATTTTATGATTTATATTTGTATTAAAATAATCACACATAAGTGTGGCATTTACAGTATTGTATAGAGGTCTTCCATGTCTAAACACGTCAAATTGTTTTTATATCACTGTAACAATGTAATTATTAATTACACTAATATATACTTATTTTAATGTACTGGTTATTGAATAATATTTCAGACATTCCAAAGCCATCATCAAACTCAGGACAAGCAAGTGGTAAGATAATAAGCAATTAGTAGAGCTCCACATAGTACACTATAGGAAAATTATTATACGAAGGTTAGATTTGATGCTTGAAAACATTTTTGAATGCATTAAATCTAACATAAGTATAATAATTTTCCATTTAGTGTACGATACATGCTCAACTAATTGCTTTATAAGTCAATCGCCGTCTTTTTTTATAACCAACTGTTAGTAGTCATCGGTTGCTATAGTGATATGATCAGTATACATGTGCATAATTACATTTAGCTGCACGTATGCTGATTTTAGCTCCTGTGCAGTACATGTTTAATTAACTACACATCAGCAGTCCATACAGTACGGATATAATGAATAACTATTGTAATTTGTATTGTCTTAGAAAAAACTTGTTTGTAGTGTCGTGAGTCAAACAAATACGTCAAGGAGTAGACCATAGACTGCATACGTTGTTTAGAACGTTTATTTGGAACACAGCGAAATGAACGAACCATGGAGCAATATAGATAGTATGAAAGAGAACTGAACAAAAGGAAAAACCCCTGTAACGCAAAGAAACAGAGAATAGTGTCAAACTCATGTCATATCGCATAACATAATATCTCTAATTGACTCAAACAATTAGTAATAAATTTTCAAACTCATACTCAACGATATGCCTCTACATATAAGTATAATAATATTAATGATCAAGACATCAATACAGTACTCGTTACTGTCTCACGTATCATTACTAATATATCATTTTATTTAATAATCTTGTTATATTTCTCATGGTTAAACATTATCTTTAGAAAACATTTTCTCTGGGTTGAGCGAACAGTATGACAAGCATAAATGTAATCGCAATAACTCTAGTACATCATACTTTAAGTTCATCAATCGTAATGTAAAGAGTATCTCTATTACTCTAATAACATAATCAGAATCAATTAAACAATCTAAACAAAATTAATAATTAAATCATGACCGCACCTGCAATGCACTCGTTCAGAGGCTACAAACAAGAAATCTCGGACAAGAAACAATCGGCGGTTCTCATCAAAATAATCTAGTAAAATGAATATTTAACCATTACTAATACAATGTCATGTAGTCATAGCACAATCATTCGTACTATCATAAAGCATAGCATAGCAATCAATTGAATAAATTCGTAGGTAATGACATTCAAATAATAATCACGGTTAAATAAGCAATAAAACTATCACAACAAAGTCATTCGAACATCTATATAAGCTAAAACTCAAATATTACAACTCAACAAGGTGATCATAAAATCGTGGCAATCGCTATCAAAATACTGTACATCATAAAATCGATAATCATAAGTAAAATAATAATAATAAATGTTCATAATATTAAATAGCAAGTAAATTAAAGATCGTACAATCAATTAAAACATCGTAAAGGGTCAATCTAACGGGGCTACCCAACCATGACATGGGCGCCCTCTATAAACATGAGTAATTAATTAGCTAACAATCATAAGCTGTCACGGTCGCTCGCAGTGGCGAACACGTACACAAATCTTATCATACAGACGTTAAAGAATTGAATTAAATATCATCTAATGGTTGACACATAAAATAAGATTGTAATTTAGCTAGAAAATACTCTAAATTATATACTGTACTGTAAATCAAATCACGGCTATCCCGCATTATACAGAACAAATAGCTCGACTAAAACACTGTCGTTTCACATACTTAGCCATGATATGCCATAGTGTAGGTTACGATGAAATATATTACTAAATACATGGGAATAATGTAATGAAAATAGGTATAAAACAATAATCGATTAAAAATATGAGTTACGACGTACCACAAAACTTCAAAATCAGAGTTACAAATACTTCTGCGCAATCAGCCAATAGTCACAATACTCTGCTTTCTTCTCTGCCTTAGACACGTCTTGTCTCTCTTGTGGCAGGTTCTCAACTTGCTTGGCTTGTTCGAAAAGGACGCGCTAGTCGTATCACAAGGACGCTAAATAAACAATCGCTCCGCAGAATGTCCAGACGGACACGACATAAATAGTAAATAAATATCCCTACTCGAAATAAAATAGACCCCATACAAGTTACGATGGTTCCATTCTCTGACATCAGTGCTATTTTGTAAAAGAAATAAAGATTTCAGCATTCGAAAGAGAATACAGTCACTGACCTTTTTGGTCGGTGTATGCAGACAGGTAAAATCGTGCGATGACTTCATAACTAGGCTAGGCTATGGCCTAGTAGTAGTAGTAGTAGGAGGCCTGGGCGGCCTCCTGCATGGCCGTAGACCTACATCTAAATTTGTTCCTTGAGTCTTTAAAATAGATCTTGATTGGTATATTCCTATTAAACGTTCAGTTTGTTGTGTTTATGAGGGCCCATTGATCCAATGAATTCCTTAATTGTTCATACTTAATATTTAATTTGAAATAACTTTCTTCGGGTTCTAAAGTTTATGAAAGTAATTTTCAATTTCAATTCAATTTTCATCGCTGTGCACGATGTCTTCGTGTTTACGAAAATAATGAGGATTTTTTTTGCACACGAACCTAAAAAATAATCAAGCCAAGCGTCCACTAGTTAAAAAATTAGTGGACGTTGGGGAATAGGCAAATGACATTGGGAGTTGCAATGATGACGTCACGATTGACTTATAATGCATCTTATAAGTCAATCGTGATGTCATCACTGCAACTCCACCTTCATCAGTGCATTTTCCGCTGCCTTGAAATCTCCAAAGATAAGAAATGTATATTTCTTCAAAATTATATAAATTTGAAGCATTTAACCACCCCATTTTACATTAACCAATAAAATTTTATTTTTATTTTTTTTCTCCATCTGGATGTTTTTGGCAAAACTATGTGCTAAATAAGAAAACAAATTTTGATTTTTATATTTATTTTGCCCCCCCCCCATGATCTTTAAAAAAATAAGTATGCAAAAAGGAATGAAAAAAGTCTCACCTAGTGGAACATAATGTCCATGTTTCTTATTTTCATACACTGTATTTCTCCTCTTCAAATCAACAACAGCTTGATTTTTGTCCTGTATCATTCCAGTTTGATGTTGCATAAATACTGTACTTATTTAAAGCAACACCATAAAACCCTGTGTTACTATTCATTTCCTTAGTTTTTTTATCCGGTTATTTTCATTGTTCCCTGGTTATAGTATATAAGCATTTGAACCAGTCATGCTTTCTCTGTGTTAGCAATCCATAATAACACAGTCAGAGCCTCTTACTGGCATCAATGCAGGCCTCAACTCTTATTTCATGTTTAATTTTCAAGAATATTAATATTTTATTTTCAATTGACTAATTTACAGACATTCCAAATATATCTTCAAACTCAAAGAATAGATTTGGTGAAGGTAATATATGTGATTTTTCATTGTTGTTCTTTTTAATATGTATTTTATCATTACAACAAAGTTAACTGATAAAATGGTATATAAATATTGATTGCAATGTGACACTTTTAGCTGAAAATGGTTCACTAACTCATGTAATTATATTTCCTTTGAATTTAGTGAAAATAAAAGTAAAATACCGTACTCGCGTGAATAAGTGGCCAGACGCTTAAAATATTTTTTTGCACTTTCTGAGGGGCGCTTTTTCAAACTGGGCGCTTATTTAAACGGGGCGCTTATGAAAACAGAGTGGAAATTGAGAGGGTGCTTATGGAAATAGATGAAAATCGAGGGGTTCTTATGGGAAATTAATAAATTCAAGAGGCACATTTGAAGGAAAAAAGATTAGGCCTATATAAGGACATTACGAATGGTGGTTAGGCGGAAAAGATAATCGTCCAGAGAACATGGTTCATGACAAGAATGATGTGTATTTACATAAAAGCAGAATAACAGATGCAATTAGTAGTGGTGGGTAGTGGTTAGCTTGTTGGTCATCGGCCGATTGAGATTAGCAGAGTTAGATTTGGGAGGGTCATTCAAGTAGACCTCAGTAATGCATGTTTGTGACGTGTTGAAATGGGTGGTTTTCATAAGCGGGCATGTTAATGTGTGATGCATGTTTAGTGTTAGTAAATTTCATATATGAGAGTTATTGGAGAAAATTGAGAGTTTGTCCTGGATATGAAATATCAATACCTTGATTTTACAAGCAGGTTTCAGGCCTTTTGTGGGTAGCTGTTCAGAGTTTAATGCTCAGTTCATATTATCGGGTCTATCACGCCAAGATGAGCCAACTTTTGATGTTGAGCTGCTGTACACGATATTAAACATACTGTAATTTTCTTTTTATTCACAGCTTTGCATGTAGGATTAAAACGTCGGAGAATAGATGAACCAGGACAAAAACCACATCTTGATATGATCGATGATCTGTTAAAAAATATTGAAAGTTTGCCATCAGGTGACATTCCTGAATTTTATACAAAATTACAACAAATGAACATGTATTTTGAAAAATTACAATTATGCTTATCAGATGTAGTGAAAGGATCTATAGTATTTCATCTTTCTGCTTATAATCCCTATGCATTGATGAATTTATGGGAAATACATTCAAGCGGCGAACTAATCAATGATTTAGCAAAACTGATAGTCCCAGACAATCTTCAGGAGGATTTTATTGAAGAATGGAAGACAGTTGTTGATAGGGAAGAGTATGAATCTGCCCTTATGAGGCTAAAGGAAAGAGGTGAGTGAATATATGATAGATTTATGGGTCATTGAATGGTAGTTGTGTCATGATGCTTAGCCACCCAAAAATGAGAAAACTACAGAATTAAAAGTAAAACAAGTTTTGTATTTTGTTTGTAAAATGAAAAGTCTACTGCTTCACATTGTCAATACATCAAATATTTTTGTATGAGCACTAAAACGATTTACCACAAACCATTTTCATTTACAAAACAGTATGTTAATGTTTGCTATTTAACTTTGCTTGAGTCCTTTACTCAATGATTGCTTGAATGCAATGGCATAATCCATTGTTACATTTTTATAATTTCACATTATTCCATGTATACTGTACATTTTTCTTTTGATAGTTCAATATGATTCTTTTTATGGCATCATAAGTGATGACATTGAATGGGAAAGTCAGATGGTGGTGGACCTAAGACAAAGAAGACCTGATTTCATGTTTAGTATCCTCAAACATTGGAGGTTGAGCAGACATGAAACTATTAATGATTTAATAGCAAAAAGCTCTAAAATAATCATTGCATTTTCACCAAAGCCATTGACTGAATATTCTAAGTATGCTGCACACAGTGTTGTTGTAAAAATGCTGGAAGCAAAAGCACTTGATAGTGCTAAGATAATACCAGTCAAAATCTCAAAAGATTCTGTTATACCTCCTATGTTTGAATCATTTACTGTCATCAATGCCAGTGAAGAACACTTTGTTGACAAAGTTTTGCAAGACTTAAATGAGTATGGTATGTATTAGCATCCCTGTTATTTGGTATTGTTACCACCATTTGTTTGTTAGATTATGCAAAATGAGTAAAACATTATACATTATTAAGCAGTACATATTGGTCTAAGGGAGAGGTAATTAAACTTTTGGAAGAGAGATGAAGATCAACATACAGAAAATAAATAAATCATATAATAAAATACAGGAGAGGTATGCACTCTAGTGCTGGATTTATTTAATAATGCCTCCTGTACATATAATGTACCAGAAATTTAAAAATACACAGTCAAAATTCAATTTTGAAGCACTTATGTACATATGAATCTAATGATAGTATGGTCGTCAATAAGGTTAATACACTCGGTAATATTGATAATTAATATATGATGAAATAGATAACAAAGAAGTTTGTAAAATAATACATTAACGTCATTAAACAGCATTGTAAAAATTGGCTAATTGTGATGTTAAAACATTTTTAACAGCAACAACATTAATCTACATTACATACTAAAAAAGAATATTTATAAACGTAAGAATTTAAGTTATTAATCATTTGAAAAATACTTTATTTACTTAAAAAGAGGAGACAGAAAATGTCACACCTGATGTGCCATCCCTTACAGACATTGAAGGAACATCATCTGAAGAACTGTCAAGTGATGAACACAAGATACAGCTGTTGGAATCAAGTGACAGTGAGTTTAGTTACTTCACTATTATAGTTGTTGTTGCTCTTGTTCTGCAGTAGTAGAATAAAACATGTACAAACATTACCCTTCATAATTTCTTAGATACTCAAAACAGTGAAACACCTGATGTGCCATCCTCTGCCACATTTGAAGAAATATCTGAAAAATTATTAAGTGACGAACACAAGACAGGTAGTGGGAACAAGTGTCCTACTTGAGGTATTTCCGAGCAGTAAAGAAATGACTAGGAATCCCTCTTTGACATGTAAAATATAAACACAGTTCACAAGGAAAACTCCAACAAGAATCCGGTCTAGAAACAACACCAGTAACATTAAAATTAACTTTCAATTCAAAACGCTGCAGAAAGAAAAACCTGTCATCTTATACACATGAACCCTAGAATTCTAGAACATTCTATATTACGTAAGTTCCGCTTTAGTCACATTACATTATAATTAACCAATAGGCTCCCTTGCTTCTACTGTACTCCAGTATCTACAAGGTTCGAAACATTTTTTGCTGAATTCCAAATGGTCTCTTGTGTTTCTATAATTCCCAGTGTTTACAATGTTTGTTGAAATAAATGTTGTTATAGAATGTTCTATGTATCAAATATATTACAGTAAGGCAAGGAATGGTAATTTATTACCAGTAGAAATGGTTGGCGCATCGGTTGTGGCTTGGACTCCCAACTTTAAGGTTGTGGATTTGAAACTCTCACTGTGCAAGTCGCTTTTGTCCTTGTAAAAAGTCACTTTATCTATGTTTGTCTGTCTCCACCCAGGAGTACAAGTGGGTACCTGGTAGGTTCAAACACAACCATGCACTGATTAAAGCTGCAACATTATGAATGTTGTGTTCCATGTGCTTGATCCAGTTACTAGGGGCTAATAATGTAAAGCCATAGAGGTTAGTTTACAATATGCGATATATAAGTCGACAAGACAATTATTATTATTATTATTATTATTTACTCAAGTGAATGTGAGTTTAGTATAGTGAAAATCAGGGCCCTGTGACCATTTTTCGGGGACCAAGGTTTCTCCGCTGGTTTAGCATTACTAGGGTATAAATAAAAAAAATGAGCTGGGGGAACCTCCAGAAAATGGATAACATTTTTTGGCGGCCATTTT